GCTTATCTGCCTGGTTACAAGCTAGCTAATATAGTGTTCAGTCACTCTGGGTCTCTAGTAGAAACTTTGTGTGTGAATTTATGGGGCTGTTCCTCCCTGTCTCTGCTGGACCCGCAGAAACTCCTCACTTGGGGAACTCTCAGTCTGCCAAACAGCAGATAGACTAATTTATGTTGCAGTAACATGCAGCCCCAATATTTCAGTGGCTTATAACTTCAAACATGTATTTCTTATTCACAGTAACACTTTAACAAGCAGGTTTTCTGAATCTGTTTCCATCTTACTCTATACTATAGTCTCTAATGTAACACTCTTACCCATGCTTTTTATCAGTTTTCTCTGTACCAGGTTACTATCAGTACTTCTTCAGATAACCATCAGCTAGCTTCATAGGTTCAGGTTACATTGAGGTGAAGCTTCCCTGGTTATAGTCTGTCAACGGTCCTTTCACGTCTACAATTTACTATTTAAGTGTCACAAATTTAATTTAGTAAATTCACTATGTTTTGTGGAGCCAATTTCCAGCTGGAAAGCCTTCTTAATAATCTTGGGCAATTTTAAAAGCCAACATTAATAATAATTTGTTAAACTGTCATTTAAAACTAATCAAAATGTACACTTACAAAGTAACATTAAAATTTTCACAAATAAGAAGAGTTCATAGAGCAGAATTTTTATTTTGATGAGCTCTAATTTATCAAACTTTTTTCTTTTATGAATCATACTATTGGTGTCATATCTAAGAAATATTTCCCTAAACCGTATTAGTCTTCTTGGGCTGACATAACAAAATCCCAGAGATTGAGCGGCTTCAACAACACTCAGAGTTGCTGATGTCAGAAGTTAGAGACCAGCATGTCAATGTGGTCAGTTTCTGGCGATGGCTCTCTTATCTGGCCTGTAGATTGCTGCCTTCTTGCTGTCCTCAGACAGCTGAGAGAGACCCTTCCAATTTCAGTTCCAATTAAGAATCAGTTAGGTCATCTCATCTCAGCTCTCCCCAACTCTTAGAGTCTCTTCCTCTTCTCAAAAAAAAAAAAAAAAAAGAAAGAAAGAAAGAAAGAAGAAAAAGAAAAACAAGTTCTATTGTAATCAGGGCTCTATCTTCATAACTTCATTTGACCTTAATCACCCCTCTTAAATGCCAATATAGTCATGTGGGGGTTAGGGTTTCAACATATGAATGAGGGGGACATAGTGCAGGCCATAGCATGACTCAAAATCAAAAAATACTTTTTCCTATGTTTGCTTGTAGAAGCTTTGTAGTTTTAAGTTTTGTATTTTGAGCTGTGATTCACATTGAACATAACTTTTATATATCGTTTGAGGTATGGATTGAATGATTTATTACATGTGAATATCCAACTGTACCACCACCAGTTTTCAAAAAGACTATGGTATCCTCTACTAATTACCTTTGTAACTTTGTGGAAAATCTGTTGTCTATACTGTCCTAGTCCGTCCTGTGTTGCTATAACAGAAGATCTGAGACTGGACATTTTATTAAAGAAAAGAGGTTTATTTAGCTTACAGTTCTATAAGCTGAGAAATTCAAGAGCACATGGCCTTGGCTTCCAGGTCAAAACATGGCACATGAGGGTATGTATCTAGAATCTATTCTTTTCCATTTATTTATTAGTCTATCTTAAACCAATATCATGCTCTTTTGATAATTATACATCTATTTTTTTTCTATAAGTCCTGAAATCAAGTAATGTTACTTGGGGGTTTTATCTTGAGATACAAAATAAAAACTCATTCTGCTAACCATATACATTAATCAGAAGAATTCTGGATAAAACCAAGAAGAAAACAATGATGACTATTATTATTTCTATTATTATTGTTTGGTACTCTTTGTTTTTAAATAATATGACATTTATTATATAATTATATATTTAAATTTTACTTTATATACTTAGATCACAGCCAAGGAGATTAACCACAATTTCAAATTTTATCACCAGCTACTTTTGCTATTTTATCACATTTTGAAAATATACACTCCTAACTACTTCAAATAGTGACCTATAAATTTGTTCAGACAATAATAATTAAGTGCCTTTTCTCTTTGACAGTATAATAAAAAAAAAA